GGCTCAAAACTCCGAGACCGACATTTTATCAAAGCTCTCGGCAGAATCCCCTGAGCATATCTCGAAGATTGCCAAAGTGGAAGAACTCAGCCTCTCTAGCATACATGCTAGCCCCGTCATGAATATACAACTAAGACAGGAGGACTGGATCTCGGACATTGTTGCCTTCATCACCACAGGGCAGCTGCCCGAGGATGAGGCCCGTGCCAAACTGGCAAAGCTGAGGGCCCCCAGCTACATTATCGAAGATGGGAGGCTTTACAAAAGGTCCTACAACGGGACACTACTTCGGTGCCTTCATCAAGATGAAGCCGAAGTGGCGATGGAGGAAGTACACAGTGGCACTTGCTCAACTCACCAGGGGCCCTTCTCCATGTCCCGAAGGCTAGTAATCCAGGGCTACTTCTGGCCTACGATGGCTCGGGATTGTGCAGATCTTGCCCGGAGGTGTCCCGTATGCCAACACTTCCAGAAAGCCCCCGGCAGGCCAGCGGTCAACTATGCCCCCATCAGCACATCCATACCCTTCGCTCGATGGGGCATAGACCTCGTGGGCCCTCTGCCGAGGGGTACCTCCAACAACAGGTACATCATTGTCGCCATCGATTACTTCACCAAATGGGTGGAAGCAGAGCCCCTCGCCAGCATCACTGAGGCCAGGTGCCGTCACTTTGTTCTTAAAAACATCCCCACAAGGTTTGGCGTCCCTCAACAGATCATCTCCGACAATGGGACTCAGTTTGAGGCAGCCCCCTTCTGTGCCCTCCTAGAAGCATGGGGCATCAAACACACTTTCTCATCCGTTGCCTATCCTCAGGGCAACGGACAGGTGGAGAACGCCAACAGGACCTTGCTCAAGGGCCTAAAGAAGAAACTGGAGGCCGAAGGGGGTGGTTGGGTAGAAGAACTCCCCAACATCTTATGGGCCTACCGTACCACCCCTCGGCGGGCAACTGGCGAGACACCCTTCTCCCTTTGCTACGGATTTGAAGCCAAGGCCCCCACCGAGGTAACCCTTCCAACCCGAAGGGTCACACAGTATGATCCAGAGGCCAACGACGCCAATATGGCCCTCGACCTCCACCTGATTTCAGAACGCCGAGAGCAAGCCTTCATACGCGCGGAAAACTACCGAAGGCGAGTAAAAAGTTACATTGACGCCAAGGTTCGCTCCCGGGAATTCCAAGTGGGGGACTATGTTCTCCGAAGAAGGGAAGGTAGCCAACCAACCGAGGGAGGAAAGATGGCACCAAAGTTCGAGGGCCCCTACATCGTGACAACCATCATTAAACTGGGAACTTACAAGCTGAAACGCCCTAACGGGACTGAAGTCCCTAGGCACTGGAATGTACATCACTTAGTTAAATTTTATCAATAACATCAGAGCGGCCAAGCCCTCATAACTAGTGAATGTATTATTTTACGGCCCAAGGCCTAAGAATTCTGAAGAATGAAGGCATTTTGAAGACACCGAGAACACGGAACAAGATTATCACAGGGGCCAAGCCCTCATATCACCCCCAGGCCCACCACAATAGAAGAACCCTCGGCACCAAGTGCCGAGGGTAGACAATACTATCACCTACGACAAGTACCACCTGTCCACAAAAGAAGACCCCTCGGCACCTGGTGCCGGGGGGACACACCACTATCAACTTTCAACAGATGGGAAGAAACACCAAGTGTTCCCGCAGAAGACCCCTCGGTACCAAGTACCGAGGGTAGACAACACAATCACCTTCAACAAATGGGAAGAAACACCAAGTGTTCCCACAGAAGACCCCTCGGTACCAAGTACCGAGGGTAGACAACACAATCACCTTCAACAAATGGGAAGAAACACCAAGTGTTTCCACAGAAGACCCCTCGGTACCAAGTACCGAGGGTAGACACCACAATCCCCTACGACAAGTGAAGGAAAAACACCAAGAGTTTTTACAGAAGACCCCTCGGTACCAAGTGCCGGGGGCCGCAAACCGGAACAAACACCAAGTGTTGTTTCTAAGTCGTACCCCTCGAGGACGCCTATACCGAAGGCGCCACCTCTCGGTGCCGACAGCACGTAGTGCACCCGACCATTTGCAACCAGTATGCAAATAAAAACCCTTCCCTGAAACGCTTTCCGCGTCATCACCCCAAGGGTATGACAGGCATGAGAAATGCCCAAGATTCGACTTTCAAAAACGGAACGCTTTCCGCGCCATCACCCCAAGGGTATGACAGGCACGAGAAATGCCCAGGATTCGACTTCCAAACCGAGACGCTCCCCGCGCCACCACCCCAAGGGTGTGGCAGGCCACGGACTATGTCTAGCGCCGAGGGGACGACTTTCAAAACTGAGGCGCTTTCCGCGCCATCCCCCAAGGGGAGGCAGGCTACAGACCACCATATCTTGTGCCCAAGAAACGACCCTCGATCCCCTCGGAACTCGGAAGGTTAACCCGAGGGGGGAGCTAATGGTGTATTCTGTTACCTCCCGATAGGCCAAGCCTTACCAAGAAACCAAGTTTCTTGAAGCCTTCCCTTCACTACTCAAAAAAAAATGGGGTGGTGAAGGGGAGTAGACTCGACGAGAAATCAATGAGTACATCACTTCAACAATTCATAGAAACATACCGAGGGCTCCCCACGGGAACACCTTCGGTACCTGAAAGCTCACAGGAACGAAGGATACCATTCACAACAGACATCATCAACAAATGGCTAAGTCCACTCAAGGATTGCCTCCGGCTATACCTAAAACCGAAGGCTCAAATACTACAAAACATGACAGGCTCAGCCAACAGCAACTCAAAGCGTCCCCGAAGGGTACTATATGACAAAGCTATCCGATGTGGCCAAACCAAATCAAGAATCACCTCCGGCACCTCACTACATGCCGAGGGGATATAACAAACAATCGAAGGCTTTTATTGCCACAAGCCAACATCACAAGGCAAAGGAAACTATCCTAAACCTACAACGCCTACAACCGAAGGGTACACCCGAAGGCCAGCAACATGAAATACTTAGAAAGAAAAAAAATCTAAGTCCTAAATGCTTTGCCCCTTGTGGAGACACCAGTCAACCGAGGGCATACCTCAAACAAGGTCCTCACATTCACCCGAGGGATCCTACTTCATACGTACTACACTTAGAAAAATTTTCTAAGTCCTACATATTTTGACCCTCGGTCAAATCTCCATGCTGCCCGAGGGGCCATACGGTTGAAGGCTTGGTGAAGCTATACTTAGAAACATTTTCTAAGTCCTACATATTTTGACTCTCGGTCAACTCTCCATGCTCCCCGAGGGCTCCTACATGCTACACTTAGAAAAATTTCTACGTCCCAAAAGTTCTTACCCTCGGTCAAATCTCCCTGCAGCCCAAAGGGTAATACGATTGAAGGCTTGGTGAAACTACACATAGAAATATTTTCTAAGTCCTAACTATTTCTGGGCCCTCGGTCATAGGTCCAGCCAGCGAAGGGTACCCAACTACCGAAGGCTAAACTGTATTCGAACACTTGGAAAAATTTCCTAAGTCCTAAGCACCTCGCCTCCGTCTATCTCACGAAGGCTACATGGAACCAGAGGGAAGGAACCGGTCGGGGGCCAACAGATGAACAAATACTTAGAAATATTTCTAAGTCCTGAACATTGCGCCCTCGGTAAAAGGTTCAACCATGGGCGGATCTATGTAGGGCCTAGGGTGGGCTCTAGCCCAGCCCAACCAAATTTTTTTTGTTAGTATAGAAAGAGATTTACTTTTCAGCCCGCCCAAAAATTAAAACTCAGCCCACCCCAAGTCTACAAGGAAGTGTTCTAAGAAGCTCTAAAAGCAAAAGGTTGCCCAAACTTTGTTTAAAGCCCATAGTCATGGGAACAAATGATCCCGAGAACAAATGATCCCGATGCGTAATAATAGAGCTTGGTGTGATTGCACCAAGAAGTGATTTATATATAGGACACTCAGGAGGGTGAACCATCCTTGCAGTCGGTGTGGGATAAATTGAGGAGCAAAACTTTACATACGGAGTATTAAACAATCGTATGTAGTTGGTGTTTGGAGCCAGCTGCAAATTATGCAAGAGGCCTGCCCCTCTAGTCTATTCGAGTCCGACTAGCTGCCTCTAGCTGAGTCTAGTTGTCCAGCCATCCACACATACTCTTATACTCTTTTAATCTATTATTTTGTGCATTAGTTTTATTTAATAGTTATGTAATCCTATTTGATTATTAATTTAATTTATGCTCAAACTCGGCTTGAATAAAATAGATATATGAACTCTATTTTTTTAGTGTTCAAATATATTTAAAAAATTGCAATGAAAATGTTTAAATTTTAAGATAAATAAAATTTATTCCTATAATTTACGAGTTATTGATAGACTCGAGTCCGGATCAAACCGAATACCACTATGCTCGAACTCAGCTTGAACAACTATTCGAAATCAAAATCTAGCTCGTGTTCGAGTTAAAAAAAGGTTCTTAAGCTCAGATCGCTAAATTAAATTCGAAATCACGCTCGAATTCGCGTAGTTCGAAAAAACTCAATTCGATTACGGCCCTAAGGAGCCTAAGCTAAACTTTTTGTTTGCAATAACAATTTTTTTCCTGCTAAGCCCACCCCACTCTTCATTCCTGGATCCGCCCCTGGGTTCAACTGATTAAAGATTACTAGTAGCCGAGGGCTACGAGAAGCACTACACTTGGAAGAATATATTCTAAGTCCTAAACATACATTCAGAAAAGTGAAGGCATACATTCAGAAAAGCGAAGGCATACATTCAAAGAAGGGCGAAGGCATACATTCAAAAGAAAACGAGGGCATACATTCGAGAAGAAACGAATTAAAGATGACAAGTCATATACACAAAGCCCGAAGGCAAGCATTCATTCTTCAAAGAGAGGAAATTCAAATGTGTATATTACAATGTGGCCGAGGCCGAGAGTACACAAATATTACAAACAAGAAGGAAAAGTGTTCAAAAAGCTATTAACTACAAGTGTTTTCTTCAGCTGTTGCCTCCTCGGCGGGCTTCGCGGTGACCTCCTCCCCGATGGCGTCCCCGGCATCACCATCGCCGGATCCCCCCATCATCATGGAGTCATGCATCACAGGCCTATCTTCGCCCGAGGGGAGGGGGTTTCTCATGTCTGGCTGCAGAGGAGGAAGGCCATACGCCGAGGGGTCGAATTCCTCGAGGGAGACTTGGAAGTGCCTGGCCAGCCTCCGGTACACAAGGTGCTGGGTGAAGAATTCACCCCCTTGGTAATAACTATCTCCCCTCTCCGCCATCCAGTCTCCCTCGGGGCCCTTCACCCCAGTCATCTACCGATGACTCCACGACCGAGGCCACCCACTGCTGCCTATCTTTGGCTTTCCAGCCCTCGGCCATGAATGCGGCAACAGCTTCTTCTCGGGCTTTGGCGACGGCCTCGGCCTTAGCAAGCTCCGCCTCCTCGGCGGCTTTCTTAGCTGCCCTCTCGGCCTCAAGCCTGGCTTCCTCCGCTGCAGCTTTGGCCTTCAGCTCAGCTCCCTCGGCAGCTTTCCGGAGATCTTCCTCCAGCATGGCCATCTGCTTTACAGCATCGGAGTTCTTCAGGATGAGCTCCTTCATCTCCCGATCCTGCTCCGCCGTCCGGAGGCGCCATTGCTCAAGCCTCTGTGCGTGCTCCCTGAGGGCTATGCAAGCCTGATAAACAACATGGGAGGGGTCAGATTAACATGAAAAGAGCATTAAAATTTAAACACAAAACCTAAAGGAACAAACTTACAGTTAATGAAGACTGAAGGATCCTGTTCTCGAGGGCCTCATCATCATAGGTTGAGAGGGCAGCCTTGTCCATTAACGAGGTCATCCCCCTCAAGAAAGCTTTCGGCTCCGCTGAGCCATGTAGGACGGAAGCCCCCGGGGCCAAGGAAAGCTGCAGGATCTCCCGAGGGGGGCTTCTCAAGGGAAGATTGGCTTGGGCTGTCGCCGCAGCATCAACTGGGGGATCCGGAGAAGGGCGATCCTCGATGATCACCAAGGGGGCATCCTGGCCGACGGTTCCCCCTGTACCCCTCTGCTTCTTAGCCGGGGGCTCAACCGCCTTGCTCCCCTTTTTCTTTTTGGTGACCCCCTCTGCCACCCCAGCAACTCCCTCCGCAGCAGAGGGCTCCGGAGTCTCTTTTTGGAAGAAGGCTCCCACAGGCGGTTGGACCGAGGGGTCCTTCTTCTGGGCTTGGGTCTTGCCCTTCTTTTTCTTCAAAGCGAAGAGTTTACCGGCGTCCATATTAACACCTGCCAACAAAAACAAAGGGGTTAGACCGAAGGGAAAGAGAAAGGGGGGGGGGGGGGGAATCCTAAGTACAAAAAAAGGAAGCCCTCAAATACTACCTCCTGTCAGCACAGGATATTTCTCGTCTGTTTCATTGAGGAAGCGATATCTGCGGAAGCCGAGGGCGAAAAGCTCCTTATCAGCAGTGAAGTCCTTAATGGACACTTGCTTCGTGCGACCCTCCGGGATCTTGGCTATTATCAAGCCATCCTTCTCAAGAGCAGCACTTCCGACCTTCGGATGCCGACGGAAGCGATCCCGAAGTTCCATCGGAAAGGGGCTCTCGGCAATTCTAACGTAGCACCACCGCTCCTTCCAGCCTTTGTTGGACGAGGGCGCTTCTGTGAATAATTTCCACCGAGCCACCTGTTACAGATTGGCGAAGCCCTCGGCGTTCGCGTGGCCCCCTCGACAGAGGTTGAAGCTCTGGAAAAATAAGTCCAGGCTGGGGGTCACCCCTCGGGCCCGGCAGAGGTTCAGGAAGCCCGCCACGTAGGAGTGGCTGTTAGGCGTCAACTGGCAGGGGACCAAGCCCACATACCGGAGATACTCCCGAAGGAATGGATGCAGGGGGAACCGGAGCCCCATTGACACCGACAGAATGTGTACGGCGATGCAGCCCTCGGGAGCCCGGGAAAGCACGTCATCAGGTCCCGGCGCCACCACCACAGTCGAAGGACCCACGTGCAGCTGAGTCACGTACATATCTCTCCTGTCAGCCTTCGACCCTATCTCGAGGGCGACAATATTCAGCCAGGAGTACCCCTCGGGCATATCTATGGGTTTCCCCTGATCAGCAACAATGCATTTCTTTTTGGGAGCGGTTTTCTTCTTCTCCTGTTTTTTCCTGGGGGCCACTCTTATCGGCGTCGGGTTGAGGGGCCGAGAGCTCCCAGCCTCACCAGCACCCCGAGGGGGAAGAACAACCACGGTCACCCTCAGCCTCTCCTTCTCTTCCTCCTCCTCTGCAACTTGTACGGCGAGGGCAAGCTCTTCATCCCTCGCCTCTTGCTCGAAGCCCTCTGTGACACTCCAAAAATTTAAAAAAAAAAAAATATTAGTAGATAAAATGTTCCGGAAATGTCATTTTAATTATTAAGTGAGTCAAACAAAAATTCAATAGTCGTTACATTCTAATCAGATAAAATTCCAAAATCTATAACGTTTTGGTCAGATAAAAATACTTCAATGATGGAAATAATAGAAGTAACATTTTTAGGATAATTTTGAAAGTGATAATTTTTGTAACATTAATGGTTACATATATGACAAGTATTAAAAGTGACATTCTCACAAAGTTTAGTTCGAAGTTATTAATTAAACAAATACTAAGGTCAATTTATACAAAACTTGATTTCTAAACATAACATTACCTCGTAACATTTTTTTGTGCATACGTACCTGTATGTATTTCACATAATCAAACAAAACCGTATAATCAGAATCTCAATACAAAACAAATACTCCGTACACGCCTAATAACTCACCTTCACATTTACAAGGAAACTAGGAAACTGCTGCCATAATTATACTCGCACACGCATACGAAGGTTACAGAGGTTAAGAACCGAAGGATACTCACTCTTATAAATAAGAGCTCAGATTTTTACGCATGAAACCTAAGTTTGGAGTCTTCTAAACAGCCCTTATATATATATATATATATATATATATATATATATATATATATATATATATATATATATATATATATATATATATATATATATATATATATATATATATATATATATATATATATATATATATATATATATATATATATATATATATATATATATATATATATATATATATATATATATATATATATATATATATATATATATATATATATATATATATATATATATATATATCCTTCCATCATTCTGCCATACAAAAACGAAACCCTATTTTGAACTCTACGATCTACGCATATTTATATACAAAATTTTGAACTCTGCGATTAACCTGAAAACTGAAGCCAAAAACTACACTACAACCTTGACCTTCGCGATAGGCATCCAATGGAAGAAGAATCACTGAAAATGATCGTCATACGAGGGAGAAATCATTCACCGGAGATGTTGCCGGAGCCGGAGTAGAGAAGAGAAACGGAAACCAACGACGACCAACCCACCTCCGCCTCTCGCCAGACCACTGTATCGCTAAAAGAGGTAACCTTTTCCGTACCACCGTCGCTGCTAGACCTCGATCTGTTCTTCCTTTCCCTGTTCGCCGGACTGGTTTACACGCCGGAGCACGGAGGAAGACCGACATTGGCCGTTTCTGCTGGAAAAGAAGATGCATATATACTTACTGGTTCGAGCTGCCGCACAGGCCACAGAGTCACTGGAGAGAATCGCGGCTGGGACATCGGAGCTCTTTCTTACTTGTTCGCCGCTGGTTTGATCAACGAAGAAGACGTACTCGTACGTCATTCGTAAGTCTGTGCTCTGCTACTCTTCTTTTATTTAAGAATGGGCTGGATTTCTTTTTTAAAACATCTTAATGACTTGGGCCGGGCAGAACTAGTAGAAGTAATAATAATAGTAATAGTAATAATAATAATAATATAAATAATAACAATAATAAAAATAGTAATAATAATAACACCAACAACATCACGCACATTGGATTTGATAATAAATGGAAGAGAACTAATGATACTAATAATAAGACATTTTAATCAAGTATAAATTGATACCTAGTACTTGTTACTTTTAAAAAGTTTCATTTTTTTTAACGAATTGATCAACCAAGCATTTGACCGAAATAATAAGTCGATTAATTGATTTAAGCGATCTGATTATTCAAATGGATTATTTGAATTACTCGGATTAAATTAAAGTGTACAACAAAGAGTGAATTGATGATTAATGAAAAATATGACTCGACTATTTTTGAATTATAAGGTTGGATTAAAGATAGATGATAACAGTTAGGGAGTTTAAGAAGTAAACTGGTCAGATTAATAAGTGATAAATTAAAAGTAGAAATAGTGACTAATTATACCATCTTAATTAAAAAGGTGAATATTTAGAGACTGGAATTGAAGAAGAGAATTAGGAGCATCGGGACTTAAGGTAAGTTTCACGTCAACCGAAATTAGTTCTTTTTCTTCGTGATTTATTTTAAATATTTTGTGTGCATATTTGAGAATTGAATTTATGTGTGCTGAATTTGAGTGAATTTTATTATATGAAAGGGGTTGTATTTGAGATGTTAGTTGCCATATTGTTTTGTTGATATGAGTTATTGTATACGATTTTGGGATATTTTGTAATTTGTTATCTTTGTGGAAGTTTGATGAAAAGGGAATTTTTGAAGTATAAACTTCGATTGATTTTGAGAAAAATAAATATTTTCATGAAAGATGAGCATCACGGGAAAAATCTGTGGTGTTGGTTTTCCACGTCCCTTAAAATGTGGAGGATGATTAGGTCTACTGCTACTCAATTTTTGGTGGTTTTGGTTTGAGGTGAATTGACAGTCGGTAGAAAACATCCCGACTTTTGAGTGGTAGTGGTAGTAGTAGCTCCTAATCATTCAGTTTTTGAGGTGGGGTAGTTGGTAGAAAACATCCCGGCTACCCGGATCGACTTACTAACCCGGAGGGCTTGGAATACCTTTAGGGGGTGTGCACACTTAAAGTAGTTGTTTCCGTTTCCAAGGAACAGTTGTGGTACCGGCGATAGTCCCGGGGTGGCCGTACATAACAACGGACCACCGGGCTCAACCAAAGTGTTGAGCACCGCCCTTCTAAATTATTAGGAATTTAGTTACAAAGTGATTTTTGGAGAAATTCAATAGAGGAGAAATTTTGGTGTTTCATGTATTTTGGAATTATTATGGTTCACGAGTTATGTGTGATTGAGATTTTGTACATATATCGTTTACTTATGATTTATAAAGTGTTTTGAAAATATTTTTATACTAATGGTTGTACGAATTTATATATATACTATTATTATTATTTTAAAAGGTTAGGTGGAACTTACTTAGCATTATTGCTAATGTGTGTTTCTTTTATTTCTTCTTTCTGTACATGATTTTTGTACAAGTGTTGAGTTGATCGATGTTGAAGTTGATTTCGAGAGAGAGCTTTCGCTAGAAAACTTTATTATTAAATCATTGTAAATTTCTTTTTCAATAACTTTAATGAGTGAACTTTTGATTTTGAAGTTTAAGTTGTTTTAGCCTGTGCACTCGATTAAGAGAGAATCGAGTGTGGCGGTAGCACCCCTATTTCATTTTTGATTTCCGCTGCAGAACTCTGATGTTTTCAAATAAAGTTGATATTTATTTTGAATAAAGTATTATTTTTGGGTGGGAAATTTGGGGGTGTTACACCCTCGGCTTCGACTTCAGCCACCAACTCCTTCTGCACTTCCACCGCCATTGCGACATCCTCCTGGGCCGAGGACTGTTCGCTTGAGGACTCCACGTCCGAGATGACTTCATCCTCCATCGAGAGCACCCCCGAGATGTCCTGGGAATCACTTTGGGAAGACATCTTTGCACTGGTTCGAGGGCTCGGAAACGCTAAGTTTTCTAAGTCACAACTCCTAGATCTAAGGCCGCTACAGCTAGGTAAGGAGGGGGAAGAACAGATGGGGAACTGACCTTAAAGCGGGGATTGATCGAAGGCGGCTGTTTCTCTCTCTAGGAATTTTGGCAGAGCTTCGCTAACGGATAAATCGCACATGGGAAGTGAAGCCGGCCATGTGGTATTTATAGGCGCTGGGATCCGGGCCTCCGGTTGGACTGCCATCATTACAAACCGTGGTTTCGCCCAATCGGTGACGCCCGCCCATGAGCAGCCAACGAGCACACACCACGTGGCAACCCCCCCAACGGCTATATCCTGACGTTAGATATTCCAACGGCTATATCTCCAACGGCTATATTCTGGGAGCTCCCGGCTACACTTGACAGACCACTCCTTCATCAACCAAGAAATTAGCCCCCGGGCTTTTTACTCCACTCCACTTCATCAAGAAGAGCCTCCGGGTGCACTTACCCGGGGACACTCCCGGTTTGTGCCCCACACATTACATAACAGATGCCTTCGGGATCACTCCTTCAGAAGCCCAAGGCTTCATATCAGGCCACCCCTCGGGGATCCCCCCTCGGCACTTTGAGGGCCGGGTAGCCCTCGGGGAGTACGCCTCATTAACAGGTAGTCTACGGCACACAGGTAACGGGAGCCCTCGGATACCCTCCTCACCAACTAATCAACACACAGGGGACACCCCAGTGACACTTCAACTGCTACTCACGTTCATGACGCCCTCGATCCCCAGATTGAGGGACTCCCCTTCGGCACCTCCCAAGAAATCAACAGCATGCCCCCGGCTAATCAACACATGAGCCCTCAGACCAAGGAAAGCCTTCGGCATCAGCATTATTCTCCATTTTGAACCAAGGTTTCACATTTTCGATTCATCGTTGGGGGGATTCGGTGCACTCTTTTTCCCTCATTAGGATTTTTTCCCACAGGGTTTTTCCTAATGAGGTTTTTAACGAGACATCCCCCCAAAATGAAACGAAAAGCGTCAGCCTTCGGTCCAAAACAGCAGCGCAACTACTCTACTCCTTTTCACCACTTTGCAAGTGCCTCAAGGAGTGGGGGACTGGAGGACCCCCTCGGGAAAAATCAAAAAAATCACAAACATGACTGACGGGCACTTTGTCACGGTGCGTCAAATTAAATTCAATACTAAACACTTATACGTAGTATAGCGTAGTAGAGTTCGTATCCACAGGGAAAGAAATAATTCTCTTTTTATGATACTTAGTAAATAAAAAGGGGGGATTTGGATTGAGTGATTTAATTTAATTAAGAACTAAGATGAACAACCTATATGTGTTTAATTCAAAGATAAAAAGGACTTGGCATTGCTACTTTTCACTTGTTGATATATTTTAGTCGATCATTGTTATATCTATAACTTATTCCCTCTCGAATACTCAATCGGGGAGTATATCCACTTCATCGAGGGTAGTTATTAACAACGACCGTTCATTAATAACCCTTACTATTAATCAAATATAGAACAACGCCTTATACCGATTTAATAGTAGCATTTAATCTTTCTAACTCCTTGATGAAATCAATTGAGATTGATAACCTCAACACAAGCGGTTTCGGTTTAACCAACAAAATTAATCCCTCTTAAGTTTATTAACCACGACCGTGCATTAATAAACCGAAGTTACTTACTTGTGAAACCATCAACGATTAACCATCGGTTCGTTGATCGTTTCTAGTAATAATTAATATATGAAACAAAACTAGTTGATCCTTTAAGTAATGTTCAAAATATTAATATGAAATAAGAGTAGGGATTAATTAATATTCAAGGAAGAATATTATTAATGAAGATGAATCCTACTATAATTAATATCAAGATGTTAACTAATTGTCATCTTAGCAACACTCCTCAATATTAATATAGAGGAAGAAAATACCATTCTAACTAATGTCGAGATGTTAACTAATTGTCATCTTAGCAACACTCCCCAACATTAATATAGAGATGGTATTAAGGAAAGAACTATTAATTAATATTCAAGGAAAGAAGTTAAGAAAATAACTCACAACTTTAATAATCAACAAGCTTCAAGAGCAACACCAAGAATGGAAGTTTAGCTCCTCATTTGGAGACTAAACATAGCTAGAAAAATATAAAGAAATTCTATTCTAAACTGAGCTAAAGAGTATGGAAGAAGGGATGATGAAATGTGAAGGAAAATGGGGCTATTTATAGGTGTTTTCAACACCTAATGCCGGATACCCGGCCGGGTATTTTGACATACCCGACCGGGTATTTACCAAATCAAATATTTTCCCATGTTTTTGTGTCTTCTGCACGTTCTTTGGTCCGAAATCACAGAATACCCGATCGGGTATATGGAATACCCGACCGGGTATTTGCTAATTTTGTAGCAATTTCCTTTGTCACTTCATACCCGGCCGGGTAAAGTCCATACCCGACCGGGTTTTGCACAAAACTCAGGTTTCTTCATCCTTTTTGCTTCCAAACCTATCCTAAACTTATAGCTCAACTAACTACAACTTACAACAAACAATAAAATGCTAAAAATACGATTACGATCAAATGCAAACTAGCAACTATAAACTTACACAAAACTAGTAAATAAACATTACAAACAATAATAAAAATATATACTTAGGCACTAACAACTAGTGCCCATCAATGACCCCTCAAGTCCCGACATGTGGGTAACTGAGGGACTTCCCTCGGCAGAATAAACAAACAGCAAACTACCCACAACTCTACAAACTACAACGGAACAACGGCAGAGGAAAAACACAATTACTCCTTTTCCCTCAAGTACCTTTCGGCAAAAGGAGTGAGGGACTCCTGATGGAGTATATGGCCTGGGAACCCCCGACCCACAGACTCCTACTACTCCAATGAAGGCCCAATAGGCCCAGGAAGCACAACAGGCCCAAATCACGGCGCCCAAAGCACCAAGCAGCCCACCACGCGCATCAGGGGTGCCTTCGGCCTCCTGGCCGAAGGCTCTAATTCTCACAGGAGGGCCAAGACAGGAAAACAAAGTTACTGAGAAAAAACGGCGAAAATCAGTAGCCCTCGACAACTGGAGCCCTCGGCACTAAGGGGGTCCCCGGTACTCAGAGCCCTCGGCTAGTCATCTACAGCCGAGAGCACCTTTCCCGACATAATATCCGCTCCACATGCGTATGGATCACCGTACCCTGTACAACGTCCCATCCAACAGCCGCATTAAATGCGGCCACATGCAGTTGCCAGTGCCAACCGGTTGAGGTGACCTCTCGGCCAATGGACGCTTAACACGTGTCCCTGTCCGGCATTTATTGCTACTATAAATAGCACCTCATTTCCCCATTTGTAACCACGCTAAAAACACTGAACACTTTCTAATATACTTTCTCTCTCTATACTTACTTGCTTTGACTTCTCTCTAGTTATTCTCCGTAATAACCCCTCGGATAAGCTACCACCCGGGTACACTATCCATCAATAATTTAGCATTACTTAAACAAATAAACAATAGAGCAACTCATTCTTTAAGACTTGAGATATTTATTATATAAAAGTTCCTAATTGTGTAATGCTTAGTTATCTTTATTAGATAATTAGTACTCCGTTTTGTAAAATATCAAACGATATTAAATACCAGACACACTAATTAAATAGTTTTTAAATAATGTGAAGTGAATTCAAATTAAATCATAACTTTTTGTTGGAATTAAATTACTCATATCATTTACTTCTTACTTTCTAAAAAAATTATTGCATAGATAATAAACTTTAACTTATTTTAGTATTAATACAAATATAATATGCACCATCTATATGAATTAGCAATATAATATTATTCTAAAAAGAAATAATATCATGCATATTATTTAGTATTAAGAAATTTTTCGTGACTCACGCACGAACACCTTTCTTGGTAGACAAAAATTGCAATTCAAAAAATGATTATTTATTCCAATAAAATTCATGTGATTAAATGAGGCAGAAGTTATTTAAAAAGTATTGGTGGATGTATACCTTTTAAACTCTTTATCTTTTTAATAATTTGATAAAATGTTATATATATATTAAATAATTTTCCTTTGAATTGTCATTTCTTACATTTTAATGTATCAATATTTTTTTCTAGAGTACTTCAATTATAAAATCAAATTTATTTTTCCATTATATTGTCTAAACTTAGAATGTATTACGTAGTAGATTTATATGTTGTCATGTATTTATTAATTTGGTTTTTTAGGAAAAAATAGCCGCAACCCCTTACTCAAACGGGGGATTCGCCTGACTACACTAACAAACAAAATTTTGCCACCTTACACTAACGAACAAATTTTCACCCCTTGACTCGGAATCCTAGATGTGTCCATGACCTTACGCAAATTAAAGCAAGACTACATGCACACCATGTAAAAAAGACATACATGCCGGCCAGACTCCCATTAGGGAGTGGTTTAATTTATAGAATGTGTTTTTTTTTTTGGAAAATCTAAACATGAACCGATTATAATAAGAGTAAGAAGGTATAGGTGTAAATTTGGGAGTGATTTACAAACTCCTAAACCATTAGCAGAACTGTTCGCTTCTACCATTGTCATGTTAATTTGTATGATGAGTATAAAACGTTCAAAAGTAATGTTTAAGTAGCTAAGGCATCACACAGTATCAGGTGTTAGAAATAATGACCATTACATTTCATTTCTAAAAGGGGAATATATATATATATATATATATATATATATATATATATATATATATATTCCACACCTAAATACCTAAATATATGTATGTATGTATGTATGTGTATAGACTTTATCACGTACATACAAGTAGTCCTATTCTAACTCTTCACAAAAGAAGAAGAATAAAAGATGGAGGTGATCACTATCCATGTGCGGCACGGTCCAACAAAACCAAGTTTCCTATGCACTTTGAAGAAATCCTGTTATGTTAAAGTAAAAATTGAAAATAAAGTAAAATTATACAAATATAAATAGTTATAAAACAAAAACAGTAAAGAAATAATTAAACTAGAGAATACATACACATGCACACACACACACATATATATATATAGGAAGCGGATCAGCTGAGAAGTGCCCTTAGACTGAGAAGCTGAGAAGTCTAACTTATAAGCAAAAAACACGAATGTTTAACCAAAAAATCATTACTTATAGACCCCCTCAAAAACACAAACTTTCTGCAAAAAAAATTCCAGGTTTCTGGAGTTATTTTGACGCGGTGGGATTTTCGTAATTTTTTTGGAGGAGGTCTATAAGTTATGATTTATTGGTTAAAAGTTCGTGTTTTGAGCTTATAAGTTAGACTTCTCGGCTTCTCAGCCTAAGGGGGACTTCTCACATGATCTTTTCTATATATATGGAGCGGTTCCGGTAAGAACGGACTCCCAGGAGAGAAATGAGAATGAATCTGGACCGTCGGATTGTATTATGTGGATTTGAATTGTGCATTTGGTGAAACTGAAATGTGTATCAGATGATATTGAAATGTGCAAAATAAAATTTTTAACTCAAATGTGCATTAGGTGAAACTGAAATGTGTGAAATAAAAATTACAAAAATAACATCACATTGTACCTTTTATTTCAGGATATTTCAGTTTCACCTAGTGCACATTTCAATTTCACCTAAAGCACAATTCAGCTTCACATAATCCCACTGTATCATACCATTTTTGTTTCACATTTCAATTTCACCTAATGCACATTAGAGTTTCATCTAATTCACGTTGAATTTCACTTAAAGTAATCTAACGGTCTAAATTCATTCTCATTTTTCTCCTAAGACCATGTTCTTATTTGAACCAAAACATATATATATATATATATATATATATATATATATATATATATATATATATATATATATATATATATATATATACACATATATATAGATATACATATATACATATATATATATACATATATACATATACATATATACATATATACATATATATATATATATATTCTCACAGAAAACATAGTGTGGGCGGTAGGGAACCGAAGAAGACCCAAAAGCTAATTAAGGGATGAAGAGGCCAGCCAGGAAGAGAATCCAATACTGCGCGCATCAGCTTTGCATGAAAATCATAACCACTATGATTACGTACGCTGTCATCTAGCTAGCTTTAGGGTCACATCAGAACTACTCCGTACTATATATATATATAGAATAAAGATCAAATAAGATGAGAACGTGAGAACACCACATGTACTCCAACGTATTGCACACTGAAGCTTGTATATTTCACTTTTTTGCGTTTTCACAATATTTACCAAAATACCACTGTGTTGGACCGGGACCAGGGAGAATTTATATAGGCTAAATTCGAGCAAATTGAAAATGTGCAACAGAAGATCTTCATTGTGCATTCCATTGATTTAAATGTGACTGTTCTCACGTTCTCAAGTTAAACATAGTTCTCATTGGAGTCGCATTATATATATATATATATATATATATATATATATATATATATATATATATATATATATATATATATATATATATATATAGTGGATCAGGTGAGAAATGCCCTTAGGCTGAGAACTGCGAAGTCTAACTTATAGGCTAAAAATACAAACTTTTAACCAATAAGTCATAACTTATAGACCCCCTCGAAAATAATTACGAAAATGCCACCGCGTCAAAATAACTCCAGAAACCTGGATTTGTTTTGACGCGGTGGCATTTCCGTAATTACGATGGAGAGCTTTATAAGTTATGATATATTGGTTATAAGTTCCTATATTCAGTCTATAAGTTTGCTGTGTTGTAAGATTAGATGCAAATTCAAGGGTTGAGATTACTTATCACTTCTCATCTTAAGGACGAGTTCTCACCTGATCTTGTATATATAGACGAATAGAGGTAGCAGAAGGGGATATTTAGTTTTTTTGTTTGGCGGTGTGATGGTCACCTGGGAGTTAGTTGGGTTCGCTCCTACCCATGATGATCCGGGTTGTCAGGGTCATGCCAGAAAGGTGTAGTGTACTTCAGCCATGCTGCCTCATGTTGGTTACCCATTATTATGGACGATGAACCCTGCAAGCAATCAAAATTTAACATCACCTTTGTTAAGGACAATGATGCAAATACGTTCTATTATTATCAACAATCTATTCTCCCATTCTTCTTTAAAATAAATATCGAACACACACATATATACGGCCATTTTCTCTTTATACTACGTACAAATTTAATATCAAATGCGTCATTTCATTTTTCTTAAACGTGTTTGTCACTTTCTCGTCTTCTAAATTTGATCTAAAAAACATAATAATTCAGTTTCTTTTCATGTAAATTCAAGGTGGATGAGCCACGGCATTGGGCCGGACTGAGCCAGTACAAAGAATATTTTTGGAAAAAAATTACACAAAATTTTTTACACTAAAAATATAGACATTGTTTTTAATTTGGGTTGGACCGGGACCAGGGTCGGCCTATCCCTAGCTACGCCCGTGATGACACATAAGTGTTATATAGTACTACCTCCATCCCCCTAATATTGGGACGGAAGAGAGTGGTGTGGTTTTCAAGAAAATTAGAATTATGTGGTTGATAATGAATTGATAAAGTGGAAAGAAAGTAAGAATGAATTAGAGCCACACAAATGTTACCAAATATGGTATGTGACAATAATAGAGGGACATCCAAAAATGAAAAAATGGGACAATTATAGGGGCGGAAGGAATATAAATTAATAATAAACATTTAGGGTCTAATATTGTTCAACTAAAACTAATGGATCATATATGGTCATTACTATAAACATAATTATATGGTCATTGCACTAAAATTGAATACAATCAATTAATCATATATAACCACTAAAACTTAATAATATAATTACTTTATATAAGAGGCCACAATTTTATCAATCATCCTTATTTTAGTCACCTACATATCATTATTCCTACATATCATATAGGAGGTTAAAGCGGCGGTTTTTTACACGCATCCGGATAAACCACCCGGACCATTCAGGCTAAACCCAAACATTTTTCAACACTTTTTCGATGTAGTTGGTAAGTCAGTAGTAGATTTTTGTATGTACTTCTTTCAAAATGGGGAGATTCCGTAGGAGTGCAATGAAACCACGATTGTTTTAATAGCTAGCCGAAGACCATGGGAGACCGGAGACTGATAGCTCTTTGCAATGTAGTATACAAACGCACTTTCATTTCAGGGAGATCAATAGTGGACAATATCAGTCTAGCCTTTGAAATTCAGCAATATATGAAGAGAAAGACGCAAGGGAAAGAGCATCTTTTGGCATTAAAGTTGGATATGATTAAACCATATTATCGAGTGAAATGGTCTTTTTTCGACAAATTATATATGATAACACTGTTAGTTATACTGTCCAGGTAAACATGAATTACTGGGACCCATCATTCCAACTTGAGGATTACGTCAAGGAGATCCGATCAGCCCTTATTTATTCATCATAATTGCTGAAGGTTTAAACGCTTTGATACGCCACCAGGAGAGAGATCAGAATATGAGTAGAATTTGTATAACAAGGGGTGCCCCATGTATCTCTTGCCTACTCTTTGTTGATGATAGCAGTCTTCTCTTTTTAGGGCACATGAGAATGATAGCTTAGTACTGAAAAATACTTTAGCAAAATTTGCCTTGATGCCTGCAAAAATTGTGAACTTTGATGAATCTAGTGTCCATCTGAATGACAGAGACTTTTATGTCGGATTCTTGGAGTTTCAGAAGATATTAAGGGAGGAAGGTATTGTTGGGAAAAACTACGGACTTTCCCGCTTCGTGAAGTTAAGATAGACACTTAAGAATTAAGGTAGTAATGGGAGCACACGATTTAAATTCTCCAATATGGAGATTCTTCCGCTCTACAAAAGAATAGTAGAATTTACAAGGATGTTACAAAATTGTCTCACGCTATGGTGGCTCACTCAAGCTTGAGGATAGGAACTTCCCAAGCTAACTCTCTTCTCTCTCAAAGAGGCTCTTTAACTTGTGTTTCCCCTTTCAGCTGACTTGTGTAGAGATTGAAAGAGCGATGAATTTTTTCTGGTGGGGACACGCTTTAAAGGAAAAGGAATCAGGTGGACAAAGTGGAATGAGCTGTGTATATTGAAAGGTATGGGGGAGTAGGGTATCGAAAGCTCTGTGGGTTTAATATTACCATGCTTGGGAAGCAGATTTAGATATTATTAAAGCATCCACGGTCATTGGTTAAAAAGTGCTTAAAGCCCGTTATTAATCTCATGGGTTATCTGCATGCTGGGTGCGGCTCCAATCCATCCTTAATTTGGCGAAGTATTGTTGAAGTTATACCGACTGTACGAGAGGGTGTTATTTACAGGGTTGTGTAGGGAGATGGTATCCGAGTGTGGAAGGATAAATGGCTACCAGGATCTCCAAGGGGCAATAGACCTCTCCAACCCAGGCAGAGCTCGAAGAGAAAACAGTTAATTCCCTTATTATGGTAAACGGGAAGGAATGGGACATGGACATCTTACAGGATTTGTTTAATGAGGAGGATACATTAGGAATACTGAGTATCCCAATAAGTGAACGGCAACGGAAGGACGAGCTGATATGGGTGGAAGATTCGAATGCGATTTAATCTATTCGAAGTTGCTGCTATCAAAATTTGACGTGGAAAGAGTCGGTCTCTCCTTCAATGTGGAAGTTAGCTCTACCGCCCAAGGTGAAGATTTTTTCCTGGCAAGCCTATGTCGGTGTCTTTTGTATCGACGGGTTCCTCAAGGGCCAAGTTGTCTGGTGTGCAACCGAGCACAATAAATAGTTTATATGTGATGGTTTTGAAAATCTTGGGAACTGGGCAAGTCATGTTAGTAGTATGTGTACCCCAGAAGAGTTTAACAGGTTTATTATGCTCTATTGGAGTTTATGGAAGACCAGAAATGCTAAAGTTTGGCGCAAAACCAGAATGCACCGGAGAGGAGTAATTGTGTTTGGAGAAGTCTTGGTAAAAGGGTTGTGTAGTAGCAGTGGCAACCACCAGTTAAAGATAGTATTAAAATTAATGTGGAAGCTGCGACACAACACTCAGGTTAATGGGTGGGGATTTAGAGTGGTCTAACGACGTCATTTATGAGGATTTTAGACATGATGGCTTTAGTTGCCAATATAAATGTCATGCCCATTTTATTCGTGGATCGGCGAACAAGGTTATCGATGCTTTAGCATGGAAAACTTTGTGAGAGCCTAATTTTAGTTGGTATGATTTACCTCTCGATAGTATTTTAGGTACATTTCTTGGAGAACATTGTCATTAATTAATGGAGTAGTATTTATTTATTTTTTTAACGTAATTTGTCACATTTGGATTATTCAAGGTTCACCAGTTTTGGTATTTTTATATATGTTTGTAAAATCTTGTCATTAACCTACTAGTGCATTAAGGAATTGCAAGTAGCACTTAAGATATTAGAAGAACATAGGGAGTATTAATTTAAATAGGTTTTCATTCCCTAAATATGAATCAATTAAGTAAAAGCAATAGACAAATATGAACACCACTACAGTCACTATAGTTAGTAGTCTGTATTATAGTTGTTAAAGTACGTATAAAAAGTCACATTTGTATTTTTAATTTTTCTAATTTAAAAGGGAAGGGCAGGAAATTAATTAAATAAGGGGAGTTACAAACGTTGTGATGGGAGGACAAATTAGAGGGCAAGAGCATTTAATAGGAAGGAATAAAGAGATAAAGCGGAAAAGGAAAAGGTTTCTAAAGCCCCACCCCACCCCATATGGGATTGATTTCCCCGCTCTGATCTCCTACGCTTTTAGACCAGACCATATAATATAATACTTCCTCCGTCTCTTTTTAGTTGCAACATTCCCTTTTTCACGTTTTCCAACGCACAACTTTGACCGTCATTATATTTAATTCCATATTAGTAAAAATAAAATAAAAATCAGATTATAAAACTTATTAATGAGACGAATTTAACAATATTTTTAAAAAAAAATAATTCACATACATTAATAAATAAAATGTAGTCAAAGTAGAGTACATGCATAGTGCATATATTCCAATGTTGCAACTAATGCGATACGGAGGATAGTATAATATATGGTTGCTTAATTAAAAATTTAAATCACACAGTATATATGGGCGTGTAAAGTAACAAGCATATATCATCTCTCTCTCGTCTTTTGTCGTCCTAGCTACCTAATTATATTGTTTTTTAACTTTAATAAGTTACTTCATTCATGTGTTTCTGAATGCTTTCTCTACTTTCTTTTTTGGACTGCTCTCCTTATCTTTTCTTTTCTAGCTATATATATATATATATATATATAAAGCTAGGAGAATATATATATATATATATAATACGAATGAAATGCATTGAATTGATTTTTTAATATCAAATATTTTTTTTTGAGTGCATAATAATTTTACGTACTGGTAGCTAAAATCTAGCTTGGTAGCTAGCCCTCATTGAATTATGGATTCCGTTTTGGTAACACTAAAATCTATTGAAATGGCCGATTGTGCTAAAATTTATGAATTTCTGGCCGTTCTGCTAAATTATTATCGAAAAATGATATGTAGTACTTAATTAACTAATGAGATATTTACCCCTCTTATGACTAAAAGAAGAGATGTTTAATTTTCTAATATATGACTCAATTAGTTTTTTTCCTATTATCATACCTAAATAGGTGCATGGTCATATATAAGGGTCATTCCCTCTTTATTTTAATCAAACGTTACCCTCAATTGTAATTGATTTGCATGATTTGTGATTTGCACGATCAGTTAGAGATTTTAATATTTTTAGTCTTACAATGGTAAGAAAGGATGATTAGTCATATATATTATGGGAATTCGATCATATGAGTTATAGTAGTATATTGATAAACTTCCCTTAATTAATTGTGCAATGGTGCCGCTGGGGCAGCCGGCAGTGCTTGTATTAATAACATAATAATTTTGAGAATTAATCAAGGTAGTGAAAAACTTAGATTTAGGATGTTTTTGCTGGTCAGGTCTGTTTAAGTGTGATCTGGTCTGACTTATTTTAGTCTGATTTGGTCTGGTCTGAACTGATCTAGTAAAGTATGGTAGATGTCTGGTCTCTTCGTATTTTATAAGTACGGAAGTCTGGTCTGATCTGATTTGTTTAAGTGTGGTCTGGTATGTTTGTAGACAAACTTAATTAATTAATTACCTCTTTGATGTGATCAGTAGTAGAAGAAGTGCACCCCATAATGAGTTCTTCCAATTCAGAAGCAGACCTTCTACTTCCAAGCTTATTATGATTATGATGCTGGTGGTGGTGCTGCTGCTGAAAAAACACCATCCCAAACATGCATCATCATGCACTGTTGTGTGAGCTGAGAACACACATTATTATTACTTGGCTTGTTTCCTACTTCATATATCCGGCCACTTGGCATGCATTGTACGTGTTACGTACGTACCTTGCCACTCCGATCATATTGCAACAACTAATTAACACAACAAATTTTGGATCTTCTTTTATTTGCACCTACTTACGCATAATTAATTAATTATATACATACATACGGAGTATATATATATATATATATATATAAATATATATATATACTCCGTACTATCTATATTACAGGGCCTTGATTACTACTTTTATTATTTCATTAGTTAATTGATGCGCACCATTTCAAATTTCAAGGTGTTGGAATTGGATGTATTATTTTCTCCCTTCTTTTTTTACTAGTAAAGCTTCAATTTTCACATTTGTCAACGCCTAACTTTGACAATTAATACGACATTTAATTTCATAATTGTAAGAATTTCAAAAACTCACTTTGAAAATTCAAAGTGAAACAAAGTGAATTGTATTTTTGAAAAAATACGAGTAAAATTTTGTTGTATTCAAACAAGAGTATGCATGGTTGGTGAAAAATGTATGTGTGGATGAATTCAATAATAAGTGTAGTACTTCATATAACGTAGGTAGGTAGAATAATATATATAATGATGATCGGAATTGAATACTATACCTGGAAGTTGTTGTGATTGGAGAGTATGATCGTTGGGACGTTGTAGGGCGGGTGGTGGTGGTAGAGGAGGGGCGGCGGGTTGTGCAATGCTGCTGCCGCAGCGGCAGCGCTTGTATTTTGCTCCTGCCCGCCTTCGCACTGCCGCAGCCTGCTTGTCCCCTGAATTTCCATTACCGTCATTCTACCTGCACCTGCAGCTTCGGCTGCCACTGGAATCCCCCCGCCCGCCTGCATACATGCATAACCCTAAACCCAATTCTAAATTCCATCTACGCGCGCTGCATGTCCAACAAACATACATACATACATACATACATACATACACACACACACACACACACATATATATATATAGGGTGCGGTTCTAGTTAGAACGATGCTTAACGTGAGAACGTGAGAACAGTCACATTTAAATCAACATGGTGCACAATGAAGCTATTCTATTGCACATTTTTAATTTGCTCGAATTATGCCTATATTAAATAACACGGTGGCATTTTGGTAAATATTGTGAAAATATGAAAATGTGCAATATACAAGCTTCGTTGTGCAACACGTTGGGATAAATGTGGTGTTCTCACGTTCTCACGTTAAGCATGTTCTCATTTGATCTTTATTCTATATATATATATATCTTTAGGGAGCGGTTCCGGTAAGAACGGACTCCTAGGAGAGAAACGAGAATGAATCTGGACCGTTGGATTGTATTATGTGGATCTGGATTGTGCATTTAGTGAAACTGAAATGTGCATCAGATGATATTGAAATGTGCGGCATAAAAAATTAAACTCAAGTGTGCATTAGGTGAAACTAAAATATGCGAAATAAAAAGGTACATAAATAACATCACGTCATACCTTTTATTCTGCACATTTCAGTTTTACCTAATGACAATTCCACTTCACATAATCCTATTGTATCGTACCATTTGTGCTACACATTTCAATCTCACCTAATGCACAATACAGTTTCATCTGATGCACAGTGAATTTCACTTAAAGCAAATCTAACTGTCGAGATTCATTCTCGTTTCTCTCCTAAGATCATGTTCTTATTTGAACCAAAACCTATATACATGGGCGGAGCTAGGGGTGGGCCAACCTAGGCCATGACCCACCCCAAATTTTAAAAATGGCTTAAATTTTAAGGTAAAAAATTTCGTGTAAATTTTTTTCTAAAAATATTCTTTGTACCGACCCAGTCTGGCCTAGTGTCCTGGCTCCGCCCCTGCCTATATATATATATATATACATATATATATATATATATATATATATATATATATGTGTGTGTGTGTGTGTGTGTGTGTGTGTATGTATGTATGTATGTATGTATGTATGTATGTATGTATGTATGTATGTATGTATAGGGAGCGGATCAGGTGAGAAGTGCTCTTAGGCTGAGAACTGTGAAGTTTAACTAATAGACTAAAAACACGAACTTTTAACCAATAAATCATAACTTATAGACCCCGTTGAAAATAATTACGAAAATGGCACCGCAAAAAAATAAGCCTAGAAACCTTGAAAATTTTTGGACGCGGTGGCATTTTCGTAATTATGATGGTGAGCTTTATAAGTTATGATTTATTGGTTATAAATTCCTATATTCAGTCTATAAGTTTACTGCGCTGTAAGATTATATGCAAATCCAAGGGTTGAGATTGCTTCTCATTTCTTATTTTAAGAGAGATTTCTCACCTAATCTTCTCTCTGTACATATATGTATGTATGTATATCACCCACCCTATTACTATACGTACGTCGATATTTAGTTGATTCATCGTCCAAATAATGCATCTACTATACATTATCATATACGAAGTACTTATTCCGTTCTTTTTTAATTCTTTTTTAATTGCCACGGTCCACTTTTCACGTTTGTCAACGCACAAGTTTGACCATTAATATATTTCATTATTTATTGTTAAAAAATTAAAAAAATCTGATTTTGAAAATTTAAAATGAGAGAAATTAAAAATTATTTTTTTAAAATTTAATTTATACTACGTAATACATTAAGTAATAAAATATAGTCAAAGTAAAATATGTAAATAGTACAAAAAGTCCAATGTTTCAATTAAAAGAAAACGGATGTACCATATATATAGGAAAATGTTCACGTAAGTAGGCCTAAAAAAAGTAGGCCTAAAACTTAAGTAGTACAATTTTAGGACTCTTTCATTTGACGTGCTTCGGGAACGAATTCTTTGATAAACTCTTGAAAAATGTTATCAATGAGGTGTATATTATGTCTACCAATTCTTTGGGAGTTAGTTGATTACAATTTATAAAATTCAGGGTCGTTTTTAGGGGTTCAATAGGTTATCCACAACAGGGCCCCAGGATTTACGGGGCCCCAAATTTTTTAAATTTTTTTAGTATTATAAAGTAATATTATATATTAATACTAATCAATAAAATACATTTAGTAAAGAAGAAAAAAATAGATCCATCATTTTTTTCGTTGGTCCTTTCATTTTTTGGTTCTCTTTTAACGTGTATTCAATTGATTTCAGTCTACGTATTAAGATTGAGATTTTTTTAAACTTTTCATATAAATGTGGGCCTTAATTTACATTTAGAACCGGGGCCTCCAAATTCATTGGACGGCCCTGATAAAATTGAAAAAAAATTATAAATAAAACTATAATTTTTTTCAATAATTTATTTAATCGACTTTCCGATTGAATTTTAATATAAAATTTATCAAAATATTTACGTACTCACAAAAGTTTATCAGATCATGAAGCACTCGAATGAAAAATGCCAAAACTTGTTTGGAGTATAGTAATTAATTGAGTACGTATAGTAGTCGATCATTTGTTTGTTAAATTGGAAGTAAACAAACAACTTGTGCGTCATTTAAATTAATTGACCAAATAAGCCTTTGTAGATAAAAAGCCGCTAAAGCTTGCTTCAAATCATGGAAACATCGAACTTTAAAATGTGGATTGTGGAGGGTATACTTTATTGATAAAATTAAATAAAGGGAAAATAAGAAATAATTAAAGTATGTTAATAGATATATTACCTTGGTCCCAAATTTTTTTCCACTTATCATTTTGTGACATTCCAAAAAATTATTCACATTTACTTTTTTGAAAAGTTTGTGGGGTTATCATTCATTTACATATTTCTTAATCAACCGGAATCATAAATTTTTACATTTTCTCCACTTTTTTTAATTAGCATCCAAGTAAACTCAAGCATAGGAGGGAGTAATATTTTTGCACTATTAAAAATAAGACTCACCCACTGCCTAGCTCCAAAGTAGCTAGATAGCTAATCCTCCGTATAGGCTAATTAAGGTACGTACGTATAAGCTAGGGTGGTAATTAACGGTAAGCTAGGTGGGTACTTACGTGATGAAAGTCGTCGTCGTGTTTTGTGAAAGGGTGGAAGGCGGCGGTATAATGGTGGTCGGTGGGTTGAGTTTCCAAAGCCGCGGCGCCAGTGTCGTAAGGGGAGATCCCAACCGCAACCGAGAGTTCATTAACATTATTATCTCCATGAGATTGGGATTGGGATTGGGCGTTGACGTCCTTGGATGAAGAACAACTGCCACTGCCGGCGCTATCACGACGATCAGCGGCGGAGGACCAGTTGCTGCATTGCCTGGGCTGCGTCTGGTAGAAGATTTTGGAGACGACGAGCTCCCCTTCCTTCTCCTCTTCATGCTGACCTAGATGGTACTGGTGCATGACCCAGTTGGTCTTTTCGGGTTTCCGGTTCTTGCCGAAGTTGGTGTAGAGCACCAGGATCTTCTTGCACCCTCTCTGCTTCCCGTTGGCCATGACCGGCCTGGTTTTGCCGGTCTTGTGCCACCGGGTTTCCCCGCCGGCCTGCAACTCGCACTCCGTCTGAATCTTCCGCCTCTTTCTCGTCCCGGTTGTGTACGCTTTCGATGGCCTGTGGAAAAAATGTCGACTCAACCCATCCCGTGTCACACCTACCCGCCCATCACCAGCTACTTGTTAATTAATTAGCAGGTAATAATTTACTAGCTAACTTATACTATTATTAATTAATTAATTAATTAATTAATAATTAGGTAGTGTACGTACGTACGTTCGTACTTGGTAGATAGATAGCTTAGGAAATGAAATGAAATAATTAAGTTATACTGTATACCAGGAAGTTTTTCTGGGTGGGTATAACAGATACCATCTTCCCCTTCAATGGTCGGGATGAACTCATCGATCAAAGGGTGGCCGCGGCCGCCAGATTTGGATTCTTTATCAGCCACCACCACTTTTGCTTCAAGGTGTTGTATCAATTCTTGGTCCGTTGGGTCAAACTTCACTCCAGCCGGTAGACCTACCCACTCCTGCATGCGCGCCCACCCATATACATAGTAATAATAATAATCATAAACAATAATAATAATCATAAAAAAAAAAAATCGCCGGGGGCCAACACGTACACAAACATTATGATCTATGGAATGGTAATTAATTACAGTATGTATAGGTGTATATATTTGGATGAATTGAAGAAGGTAGGCAAAAATATGAAATGAAAAGATGAGATCGGGCGGAGTGATGTGATATGATGGATGGAGGGCGGTAGCTTAATTATTATTTATATTAACGTTGTGATCGATGATGGCCGGCCGGAGTGTATATATTCTGTACATATATATAGCTAGATGAGAAAACAATTAATACAATACAATTAATTATATATATAGATACACAATAAGCTAAGCTAGCTAAAGCAGTGAGTGATGGTGATGTACGGACCGGGTTGGGTTGAAGGGTGTGACCACAGCCAGGACAGTGGTGCAGCAGCTTGGATCCACCACCACAGAGTTGTTGATAGGGCTCCTCAAGCTTGGCATCTATCAGATCTGAGCTGCTGCTGCTCATCATCATTTGATGATGAGGATGCTGATGCCCGCCGCCGCCGCCGCCGCTGCTACTGTTCCTCTTCATCATTGATCCAAGTATATATAATCTTAATTAATTTCTCAACATCGATGCAGGCATAGCATGATCCACCCAAGATATATATATATAATGGCCGGCCACTTACAGCTACCTAGCCTTCTAGGGGTATGATGATAGATAGATAGATAGATCTTAATGAATGAAATTGTATGTATATGTATACGGAATGAGCAGCTAATTAAGGGATCACGCCCGCCGCGCTGCGCTGCGCTGGAGGCCAGCAATCTAGCTAGCCAAGTAATGAAGCTGGATTGATAGAGATCATTTGAATTCCATTTGTCCGGCCGGCGTGGGATAAGAAGATCGCAGCTGGCCGGCTGAGTGGATGAGCCGATTGATCAAAGAAAGAATCGAAGAAGAAGAAGAAAGAGGCTAACCGGCAGGGAAGGAAAATTAAATAAAGTGGCCGGTGTACTAAAATAAATCCGGGCTAGCTAGCTTTAAGGCCCAGGATTTGCTCCTTACTTTAACTGACGACGCGCGCGCGGACAGCTAGCTACCTTTCAAGCTGCGCGCAATACAACCAACTCATCCCTCAATACCTGCGCTGCGCTAGCTAGCTACATAAAGGAAAAGGTGATATACATCAAATATATATATAATCCCCTCTTACCCGCATGGATACCTCGATTGAGTGTTGAGAAAGTTGGAAGAATCAATAACGATCGAATCTCGCAGCAGTCGTGTGGATGTTACTGCTATTGCATGCTAAGTTGAACCTTTGGTGTGCACAGATACAAGACCTATCACCATTGGACCGACTAGATCACCGTGACTAACATCCTCCCAAATGTCATTCTCAGGTAGGGGCATAGGGGATCCTTGCGGTTGCGGATTTAACTTTTTTTTGGAAGAATATAATCCCCCCTCTCTCTCTACTCGCCTGGGCCTGCTTTAATTTATCTTCTTCATTGTACCTACCTACAATCTATGTTGCACGGATACGGATACGCCGATACATCGATATGTGAATCCGTGTACAGCGATACAACAACTTCAAAAATTATAGGATACGAGTACAAGGTTATATGTATAAATAATAATATTATTAATATTATTAATAATAATAATAATAATAATAATAATAATAATAATAATAACTTGCAAATATATACTAGTATAATTCAGAGGTTCATAAATAATATAATAGTAGTAATAAAAATTAATAATTATAATAAAATTTCAAAGATTAGACTAAAAAGCTAGAGTACTCATATTTCAATTTAAATTCAAATAATATTTTTTGTTGTTTATTTTCATTTACATCCAAATCTTTTAACAAGACTGATTTCAATTCATGCTCATCAAGCGACAAATTGGCAAATTATTAGGAGTGGGAAAAACCGAACCGAAACCCGGAAATCGGCCCTAGCCCTGCCCGAATGATATTCCCGGTCCGGTTTTTTTCTATTTAACTAGCCTGAATAAAAAAACCCGGACCGAACCCGAAAGTTCAGACTCATAAGCGGGTCCTAAAATCTATAACCCGGCCCGGACCGATAAAAACCCAAAACGATTAGCTTTAATATAAAATCAATATAAATAATTCCTAATATATGATAATAATCACGGTGGATGAAATCATGACCTAGTAACTTGTAGTGGCTAAACATATGTTCAATTTGTTTACCATAATGACCATGGAAATATATTTATTATGGTAAATTTAGTCACTTTTTATCCATAAGTTTTACTCCGTAATATTTTTTAGAAAACTTATACTACCTCCGTCCCAAATTGATTTACAAATTTGACTTTTCTTGGTCAAACAGTTTCATTTTATTGGCTTAATTAGGATGTCAATTTGTAATTATATTCTAATTTGGGCTTTGCAACTTTGAAGAGATTTTAATGTAGTTTCTTAATATGTAAATTTTAATTATTAAAAATTGAATTATTTATCGATACGGAGCATTGACTTTTTTTATTAGTTGACCAAAAAATGTTGACTTTGAAAAACAATTTAGGATGGAGGGAGTATTATTTATTTATATGCATCTTAAACAAAATAATAAGATTCTTATCTTCTTTGGATTTGAATTGTTGTTGATTGTGGAGACTAATATTTGTGTTATTATTTGCGGCTTGTGTTTTTGATTAGTTTTATTTAAAAATAGGTTTTAAATATAAAAAGACAATGATATGATTTCACATTCGGGCTTTAATTGGCCCAACCCGAACCCGGACCGAACCCGGTCTATCAAAAACCCGACTCGATCCGAACACAATGGGCTTTGTTCTGGTCCTTAATTTTCATAACCCGAGACCTTTCGGGTAATTTCCGGGTTTAGCAACAAACCGACAAAGACCGAACCGATCCCACCCCTACAAATTATAGCATTCCAATGTCTTTTACACTCCCGAAATCATCTTCACTAATGTTCAACATCTTGTAGTCCCTTGGGGGCTACTAAATTTTCGTCCTGTCATGTATGAAATTGGGGTTTTAGGGTAAGATACACGTATCGATTAATGAATACGGGTATCGGAAGTATCCATATTTTTAAAAATAAATCCAATACTTTTATTAAATTAGGGATACGTATCAGATACGCGGATACGACCTTGGGGTGAAATATTGCACCATAGCCTACAACTTCCGTCTCCCTCTAATTGTGTGACAACTTACGTTATCAAAGCAACAAAAACAAAAACCATCACGCAGGCAGGCAGGCAGGGTTATTAATTACATATATATTGCTTAGCTTTTTAACATTCATGTTGTAAGGAATAAATGTATTTAGATTTTGATGATGCTAGATTTAAAGTACCCCATTAGCAATTTAGTATTAGAAATTTTCTTTGTAAGTATTAGCATAGTCGACTGGCCAGAGATCCTCTTGGACCTTCTGATCAGAGTCACTCATCAGAGGTGGTACCAGAGTAGGGTACCAGAGTTGACATCAGAGGCGGTCATCAGAGTTTGGACCAGAGAGCCTCATTAGATTTGCTTTTACTTAGCAGAATTCGAAGGCACATTCCAACGGTTGTGAAACTAACGGAAAATACCCTAACGGCTAGGAGCCATTCGACGGAAACATGGTACTGTACATACATTAAATGCTCAATTAATGCGGTACGTACGAAGATATATTGAAAGCTGATGATTGACCATGCGGATATCCTTTCGCCCCCAAAATAGCAAGTCGACGGACCAACCGGTCAAATCAACAGTACAAGCATTTAATGAAGCTGTCTTCTACACTCCAACGGGAAGACTGCTCCCAGTATATAAGATACACTTCGAAGGATTGGAAAAACAACGATTCTACTACGAGAAAATATATTCAAACGTTCAAATTCTTCAACCTCTCTTCATCTCGAGCAACACTTAACGTTGGAAAAGATCTAAACTTCATATCTTTTCTTTCCAACGTAAAAGAATCGTTCCTCCAGTTCTTCAACACATCGAAAGCCTCAACTACACATCCTTTGTGAAGAAGCTACGTTGGAGAAACCTGATTTTAAATCACATACTTCTTGAAAAAGAAGGGACGTCTCAAATTAGCTGGAGTAAGTGAAGTGGGGATACTTCCAAGAGACTCGGTGAAACGAGACAAGCCATCAGGAAGCAAGGACTGCATCCCGGGTGGCAACTAGACTTGAAGAAGACGAGGAGTGCTTCTTAAGTGCTAGGGACTAAGGCGTTGTAAACTGTTGTTTTTGCAAGCTTAGTGGAACAGTGGACTAGAGGAACACGTTGTTCCTTGAACCACTATAAAAACCTCGGTGTCATTTCCTTTACGCATTTATTTCTGCACTTAGGATTCTAACTGTTTAACTCAGTAGGTTGGACTCTGTGTACAGCAGATCTTCTGTGACACCGTCCCCAAGCATGTTTACTTTTAGTAAATTATGTAACAAACCTTGAATAATGATTTATGAAATTTGCGTGATTGTTAATTGTTATTATTTCTTTTACGTGAATAGTAAATTGCATGTGGGGCCCACAGCGGGAACGGGGACCGCCCGATAATTCCCGAACCACATATTATATTCATCTTGGTCTATATGACATCTATATGGTGGTGGATATTTTATTTGGGCCATGGGAAGGGCATGGAGTTGACCGGAGGGTCAAATGAGGCCCAATTACCAGTATCAGTAATTTAGCGGATAATAGCCCGAACTGAATTTCGGAGACTCCTAAATTAATGTTGGGGAATGTACATCTATTCTAAAGGCCCATATATAGTGGGAACGTGTGATATATTTTATTTGGCCCGATAAAATAAAATATAATCAAAACGGTCCGAGAAATATAACATTCGGGGCCAATTACACACACTGGAACATAATGAGATGACCTCCCACATGAGTGGGGTCCACCCCACGTTTTTATGTATTCATATGACCATGTAAGATCTGGGGGGACAAGCCTAAATGGCTTGTGCGGACAAGGGAAGGGAGGGGGGTTTCCTAGAGACAAAAACACATGCCTATGTCCTATCTCACACAATTATTTGTGCTGATTGAGAAGGCATCTTCCCCATATCCTTGCAGCCATTCGGCCAATTCACAAGAGAAGAGAGAAGCTATGGAGAAGTTCCTCACACTGTTCGAGCTTGAAGGAAGCAACACAAAGAAATCCCAACAGAAAACTAAGCTAGGAAAAGGTAAGAGCTCATGTAGTTCTTTTAATTAGTTTTATCATGTATGATTTGTAAGAAATCATATGGTGGATTAAACATGATGTTCTACACGTTTAAAAGTGTAGAATATTGATATAAAGTGGTGTTAATTAACTTAGAATAGTTGGTGAATCGATAGGAGTCAAAATCGCCGGAAACCGCCACATATAGGAAGCTGTTCGTAGTTGCAGACTACGAACGTCGCCCGGCTTTCGTGAAAGCCGCCCGGCTTTTGCCCAGCAGTCCAGATTTTCACTTTCGAACGGCCTAGAACGAGGACGGGTCGAAGGGCTTTGCAAAGGCAACTAGTCAAGCACCCTATAAGGTGAGGATGACTGACTATATTGCTTATAATTAGTGAGTTAATTTTATGAGATTACCTAAGGTAATTAAATGTGTTTTTTATGGATTATTAATGATTAATAATGCCTAAGAATGAGAAGACAAATGTCTATAAAGAAAAGGAGCATGATATACAAATTTATGAGTAAATTGTGTATGATCATGTGTTATGAGTATATTGACTTGAAAGTGGAATTAATTATGAAACATATGTTGAAATATACTTTTTACTTCATATTAGAATATATGAGTGATTAAAAGTGATATTTTGAATATTGAGATAAATGATATTTTCAATGGAAAAATCAATTGGAATTGTCTATATGACTATGAGTTTAGAACTTGGTTTGTTGGAATTAATTTGACTAGTCTTAAGATACTAGTTGGACGTTAAAATGAGATGTTGTTAAGATTGATCCTAAGGTTGGATTGTGAAATGTTATGCCTTAAGTAGTCTTAAGAGATGCTTTAAGGTAGGAAAGTATGAACTTTAAGTTATACTAGGGGTAGGCTGATACGTTTGTAATTTCCATATGCATGTTTGTGTTTTTAATTAGTTTTGCTTGATCTTTACTATGGAAAT